CAATCGCACGGCCCGAAACGCGCCCGACTGACCGAGGACGACTTTGCGACTTTACCGCGGTATTTACGTCCTTCCTCAACGTCTTCCACCGGGACATGATAAGCCGCGAAACTTGGCCGGAAAAAAAACAGCAATTAAAGGTCGTAGAAGAATTCTTAGAGAGAAAATTTATTGGGGCCCTAATAGCTTATGTCACCTGCAAAACAATCATAAACTTCAGCGCAATTATGGAAGAGCTGCTGGAGGCTTACTCTGACGAAATCATCGCGCCGTACAGGGTAAGCCAAAATCTGTTGGAAAGATTTTTCAGCAACATGGCTGCCAGAAATAGCAGCAGAAGGTGCCGATCATCTACAGAAATAATTGCGCTGGTCGAAAGACTGAGAAACGTACGGGAGGAGTGCTGGGCAGAAGGAGTCGAGCAGAAGGACGACTACCTCCTCATTGAAAGCTACTGTACGAGCTTGAAGCGCCGGCCAATGAAGATGACGAATTTGAACCGTTCGCCCCTAACGGTGACATATTCGAGAATCTAATCACTCAGCCGCTGAGCCGCAATCTTGAACAGTGCCTGAGGCTGCTCACAGGATGTGGTATAGCACGCTACATTCGTGAGCAGCTGCATTGCGAGGAATGCCTACAAGAGTTCACGATGAACGAAGACACCTTCTGTTATTTGAAACAAGGTCGCAAGGTTGCCAGGAATAAGCTGAATAGTCTGACGTGGGTTTCAAAATATTTGAAACCAGATTTACCAACCGAAGAAGTCAATGAAACTTTCCAAAGAGCGTACGAAATTTTCTACGCAACAATTAGGCAGTACATGACGGCAAAAAAAATAGGCATGCGGCTACAAGCAACGGTAATAGAACGAGTTCCCTTTTCCCGAAGACCAGGATTATGCAGCAGAAGTGAGCTGCACCGAAGGAACTTGCTCGGGTTCCTGCTGATAGCATTACTGTCCGGAATAAATTTCAGAGAGAAAATGGACACAAACATAACGTGGACCTAAGTTCCTCTGCGCGCCATCTCCACCCTCCTCGCAATACTCGTTGCGTTCCAATGGTAAGTTTGCATATATCTTTACTGATTGTCATTTATAACTTAATTATTTATTTCCATTTAATTTCAGAATAATAATATATAATTAATATATTAGTTCAGACATGCCTCTCGCGTGGCTATGCGAAAACGTTTGCTCTGACATGTCGTACATCGTGCAAAATATAAAACGCATTGCGGGCGATTGTCTTGCGTAATAATGATTCGATACTTGCAGGGCATATATTGCAAGTGTGCAAATTGTTTGAACGACAACAATGGGATTTCAAAAGTCCTATGCATCAGTTCTAGCATATCAATATCGAGAAAAAATTAGAAAACAGAGGTGTTAGCTTATACACACTTCGTGAAATAGATATCGCTAAAGGAGAATTGCCCATGTTCAATGCTGATGACACTTTGCAGCCCATAACGCGTACAGTGTTACGTATTAAAATCAATATATGACCAAACTTTGTTTGGTAGATGGTAAAACAAGTCAAAATTTTTGGTTATTGATTGAAGATCCCGAATTCAATTTTATTTATCATTCCGAATTGTTCCAGGTTTTTTTACCAATCCGCAATTACAATTCTATTACAAAAATAAACAATTTCTGTTTATGTGCTTTCTTCTTGTTAAAATACAGTTTTTATTCAACTCAATGGTCGTGGTTTCAAATCTCAAATGCGGTAGAGTTTTTAATAAGGACATATAAGCCACAAATCTATTCGCTTAGTCCATCTCTGTTCAACAACCAAAAAAAAAAAAAAAAAAAAATACACTTTTTAAGCCACGCGCAAATTTGTCTACAGCCAAAAACCACAAAAACTGGCAATACTTCTCAAAGAGCCTTTACCGTCACAATATTATATACGAGTAGCGAGTGACACTTGGCTAGATACTAATGCGTGGACTCCATTAAATTTTAACTTTTAGTGCTACCGGATCACCATCCCCCTCTTACCGAAACCTATAGCTGTAAGTGCTCTGAAAAATCTATGAATCTTTATATAATTTTACGCATTTCATCGTCTTTATCATACTGATAATAACGTTTTGCTGGAGTCACCCACAAGTTCAGATAAAACTGTAGTGGCGGAAATCGCCATACAATAATAACAAAAGAGCTAAGGTTGTTTATATTGCGCCTTTGAAAGAATTAGCGATTGGATTCTCAACTGATAGTTACCACACCAAAAAAACGGGATGGTATCAGCTGGTCTTGCTAGACAAGAGAATATGTACAGGACGTTGTACTAATTATTATAGACGAAATACATTTTGTAATTGTATCATGTACGAATTTCATTACGTCAACATAGGATGCAATATACGTTGGTTTATCTACTGCTTTTACCAACGCTCAAGATCTCGCCAATTGGCTGGATATTAAGGAAATGGGGTTATATAATTTTAAACCTTCCGTAAGACCGGTTGCTTTGCAAGTGCATATAATTGGATTTTCCGGTAATTAAACCGATTTTCATAACATTTCTGACTCTTCTTTAATGATTTATTTGCAGGCAAACATTAATGTCCACGGATGGCCACCATGAATCGGCCGACATTCCAAACAATACGCTCTTATCCGGCAACGGGACCCAGCATAGTTTTTGTTTCATCCCGCCGTCAAACTCGATTAACCGCTTTCGATCTGATTACTTGGAGGCAAATGAGATAACAATAGAAAAAATGTGTTGCTCTAATATATTTCTTCTTTACTCCTTTGCCAGATACTGGATTATTTACGCTTACGCTTGTGGTAAACAGTATGGAAAAATTTTTAAATACAAAATTTTATAGAGAAAGCTAAGAACAGAAAG